CCACCAGCAACTTGCCTCAACCACGAGCATGTAGGTGGCAAGTACAACCTTCTGTTTGGGAACCACTCTAAGATTTGAGAAGGTCTTCTTTGTCTCTGCTAACCAATACTCAGCATCTTCGAAAAAAAAATGCCCCTACAAAGGTACATGAGTTTAGTCTCTTGTACCTCTCAATATAGACTGGATCCATCATGGGTGGAACTGAGTCCCATTGAAGAGGGACTAGATTATGTTGGGGATGAGCCGAACGACCCTGTGGCAGCTCATGGTTGTATGGTGGGGGCACCGAATTGTACTGTGGTGGTGTCAGATGATATGGTGGAGAAGCAGGGTTGTATTAGGATGGCACCAGATATTCTTGTTGCAAGGGTGGCTCCAATTGTGGCAGGAGTAAAGGGTCAGACAACTCCCTCCTTTTTTTTAAGCTTGCTGGGCAAAGATAAGTCTCTCCAACATCTCAAATAGTCGATCGACATCCTCTCAAAGCGACCCACCCTGGGCTGTTCGGTTTAGTATGGGTCTTCCTCTACTTATATCCTTGTACTTACATTTTACGAGAGAGGATTAAGTGTCAGGTTGTATTCTAGTGTTTTTAAATCTCTATGTAAAGAATAGTTCCGAGAAACATGACTCTAATACCAACTGTGAAGGCCTATAACTTAAAGGAAATGAATTCATACTTTAAATGCAGAAGCAAACAATAATGTTAGGATTTACATTCCTTACACAGTAATTATGGATGTCCAACAGAATTATGGGAATGTCCCTTTTACAGTGATTCGTGAAAAGAAACTAAATAAATAATTAAAACTAACAAATAAATGTCCCAGAGGGTTAACCTCCATTAGCACTCAACGGGGTCTAGGAGAAAACCTACTCACAACCATCCAGCTGATCAGAATCTAGATCTTAGTTTTCTTGATTTGAAATGGTTAATAGGAGGGTGAACTACACTAATTTAGTAAGAATATCACACTAATCACTAATACAGAAAACAAAGATTGGTAAAAAAATATAAAATAACTAATTGAGCCCTTAATTTAAGTAAATTTATTTAGCATAAAGAAGATCATTTATTTCATACTTACCGTTATAAATTTTTAAAATCAGCCGATAAAGACATTACGTAGATAAATTATGATTTCATTTACATGTGAACAAAATTGCATTTCCTTTTTACTGCTTACTGAAACCCTTAGGGTCATATGGAA